ATGAAAACACAGGTTTCTGATTCAGTAGATCTGGGGCAGGGCCTGAGAATTTACTTTACTAAAAAGTTCCCAGATGTTGATGCTGCTTCTGGTCTGGGGACCACCCTTGAGTGCCATTGCCCCAGTGCCACAGGCCAGGCCAGCCTGCAGCTCTAAGCAGTGTGATTCCAGCTGTGGGAAATGAGATTTGTGTGACGAAAGTCAGGCAGGTCATTGCAATGACAGAATTATCTCTGAGATCCTGAATTGCATTTCACAATATCCAGAGGTTGATGGTTTGCCCCAAATAATTAAACTTGCAGAGAGAGGATGGGTTTTCTCAGGCTTTCTTGTCCAGTGAGTACCATATGTTTTTCTTCTGGGTAGATAACTGACTCTAGCCCACCACAAACAAAGGTCTAAAAATAAAGCAAGAAAATTTCTAGTTCCTTGACTATTACGGACCCCAACCCAAATCCAGATTGGCTTCTCTGTTGCTGGCCCCTAAAAATCTTATTATGGATGAGCAGCCTTTAGGGACTTTATTACACTTACTCCATTTGAATCATTTTGTTAACTCGGGTTACGAGAAAACCTGTTTTTTCTCAAGCATCATTTACCTTTAAGCTTTTTATATTTTAGAGGCAACACTTTGCAAATTGATTTACACTCATATTATTAGTGTATTGGCTTTAAAAAAAAAAAAGAAACCATAGTATGATCTCATATTTTTAAAAATCCACCTCTAAAAGAATGAGCCTTGAATTTCATACCGTGTGTGTGTGTTTGTGTGTGTGTGTGTGTGTGTGTTTGCTTTCTTTCATTTGTTTCGTTTTTAGAGTGGGATTTTCTGAGTTTAATGAATGGAGTATAAATTCCATTTTTAAGGTGTTTAGAGAGAAGCAATTTTTTTTTTAACATTTATTCATTTGGTTGCACAGGGTCTTAGTTGTGGCAGGCAGGCTCCTTAGTTACGACTCACGGGCTCCTTAGTTGTGGCTCACCAGCTCCTTAGTTGCAGAACGTGGGCTGCTTAGTTGCAGCTCGAGGGCTCCTTAGTTGTGGCATGTGAACTCTTAGTGACAGCATGCATGTGGGATCTAGTTCCCTGACCAGGGGTAAACCCAGGCCCCCTGCATTGGGAGCACCACCATGGAAGTCCCAAGAAGCAATTCTTTAATAACTGAGTCAACCAATTACAGATTTTAGATTACAAAGGGATCTTAGAAATTATCTAGTTCAGAAGTAGGCAAACTTTCTCTGTAAAAGATTGCACAATAAGTATTTTCACTTCTGCAAGTATGTTATTGTGGTGTAGTGAGAAATATATATTTTGGTCTTCATTCCAATTCCCGGCTGGAGTGCCTAAAATTTTTGTAATTTACAAAGCAGTGACGGGGCTAGGAACATCTTTTGTTCTTATATTTGGTCTTTAACCCTGGCTCTTGATGCAGAGTTCCTAAATTCCTTGGAATATTGTGGGTGATAGGAGCATTATTTTTTCCAATGAGGCAGCTCTTGGTGGGCTCCTGGATAGCTTCAGTTTGGGGGCTGGTCAGCAGAAAGACCTGACCATAATTAGAAACTCGGAAATTTCAGCCTCATCCCCCCATCCTCCAGGGAGGGGAGAGAGGCTGGAGACTGAGTTAATGATTGATTTTGTCCCTGTGATGTAGTCTCCATAAGAGTCTCTGAACCCTGGGGTTTGGAGAACTTCCATGTTGCTGAACACATTGAGGTGCCAGAAAGAGGGTGCACGTGGAGAAGGCAAGGAAACTCTGTACCCTTTCCCTCGTACTTTGCCCTATGCACCTCTTCCATCTGGCTGTTCCTGAGTTGTATCCTTTTATAATCAACCAGTAATCTAGTAAACAAACTGTTTTCCTGAGATCTGTGAGCTCCTCTAGCAAATGATCAAAGCTAAGGAGGGAGTCGTGAGAATCTCCAGTTTACAGCCCATCAGCCAGCATAGGTGACAACCTGAGCTTTCGATTAACGTGTGAGGCTTTCATCTAAAGTGTGGGGCAGTCTTATGGCACCAAGACCTTAACCTGTGGGATCTGTGCCAACTCTGGACAGTTACTGTCAGAATTGAGTTAAATTGTAGGACATCGAGATGGTATCCACAGAAAGTTGGGGAAATGCTTGGTTTGGGGGAAGAACCTATACATCTGTGTCAGAAGTATCATGAGTAGAGTGTAATCATAGAGGAAAACAAGTGATTTCCCTTGCATCAGGCCATATGGTCTCTGTTGTAACTATGACATTCCTGTTTTCATCCCAGACAGCAATAGACAATACAGAAATGAATGAATGTAGCTATATTCTAAAAAAACTTTATTTACAAAAATTGATGGTGGTCCAGATTTGGCTCATGGGTCATAATGCACCAACCCCTGATCTAGTTCATTTCATTAGTTTATCTGTGAGGAAACTGAGGCCTGAATTGATTAGTGACTGGCTCAGCTCACTCAGCGAGCAAATGGCAGGGCAAAGTCTCATACTCGAGTCTGAATCCCAGATGAGTGTCTGTATCACAAAACCACTTGTCACAGTAGGGAGTGTGGAGGTACCCTTTCTCTGCATCCGGTCAATCAATTTATGCATCAAAGATTTTATTCCTCCAGCTGCCCCTGCTGCACACACAGTATGAAACCAAGGGTTCCTAGTGTGTCCTTTGTGCTTTTCTGGTCACCTGGTTATAAAAATATCTCATCTCAAATGGCCTTTAAGAGGTTTGTATGCTTGTGAGAATAAAAGAAATGTACTTCTAAAAGTTTGAATTTTTTTCATTTTCCTTAGTTTGGTGGGCTAAATCTGACACTCTTCTAAAGAGGCCAAGGTTGAAGGTTTGATTCTTAAACGGACACAGAGAAGAGCTGTTCCAAGGCCACAGATGGTGCAGACCACCGACTGAGCATTTGTCACATGTGTTCTGTGATCTCACAGGGCTCCAGGAGAAAAGGGGAGTTGATCCAGAGCAAAGTGCTCCTGGGGAAAGAGAAAGACTCAGAGCTAACGTTTCTCCAGATTAGAAGCAAATCATTTTCTTCGTTTTCCATGAAAACCACACTTTTTTCATTGTTGATTTTAGAACAAAAACTGTCAACCTAACCTCTTTGCATCTTAAGAACATTAAGCTTCTTGATGATCTGCAAACTAAGTGAAACACTTTGTATATTCTTTAGTAGTATCTTGAGTGAATTTTTGTTGAAATCATCTGTCATCTTTGTCCTCCTTATATAGGGTTATTTATTTTTTCATTATGTATCATCTTATTATTATTATATCTTGCTATTTAACCATTCTTGTTATGTCAGACTTGGCATCTACTACCTGAATCTGTTACAAGGCACATCGCGCATACCTTTCAGTTAACTAGGAGAGTACTGTTGCCTTTTGGGAAGTGATGAATTTGACGCCTAGATTCAAGAATTCTTGAGGCAGAGTGTTCAAAAACTGTGAAAGATTTGTTGGGGCTCCAAATCAGAGACCTATTTTATCTTCTTACAAATATATTTTTGGGTGCTTGGGTTTAAGAAAAACTGAGACACTCTCAGGTTGTTTGATTTTGTATGTGTGTGTGTGCACATGAGCTTTGTGCTGTGCGTATATATGTGTGCTAGGGAGGGAGTTATTATGAGGATACATGTGGTCTGAAGCCACACCTGCAGGTGTCAGGATCTGGGGCAGTAATCAGGTCCTGCCACTCTATTACTCTCTCTTTGTGGTCCTCTCACTTTATATTTTTTGCTGTTTGCTTTTTCTCTTGTTACCAGTTAGTCAATTTCCTGATTGATTATCCTCTATCTCAAATTAAATAGGAGCCAGCTTTATTGTCTTTGCTAATTAGCATTACTCCATTGACAGAGCTTTCTTTCTAAGATGCCTAATGTGTCACCAGGAAGCCTTTGGATGGGTCCTCCTAGGACAGATGCCCACCTCAGTTCCAATTGGTGTCCCCTGTGTACAAAGAACAGCCTGGTGCTGCTGCCCTGAGTAGGATGGTATCATCTAGGAGTGAACACTGGACAATGAGTTGAATAACTTCTTAAACTTTCATTGTATTGCTCTCTCTCTTTTTTTTTTTTTTTTTGTGGTACGCGGGCCTCTCACTGTTGTGGCCTCTCCCGTTGTGGAGCACAGGCTCCGGACGCGCAGGCTCAGCGGCCATGGTTCACGGGCCCAGCCGCTCCGCGGCATGTGGGATCTTCCCAGACCGGGGCACGAACCCGTGTCCCCTGCATCGGCAGGCGGACTCCCAACCACTGCGCCACCAGGGAAGCCCCTCTATATTTTTTATTGTAAAAGAAATTCACATTTTTTTATAAAAGTATTTTAAATACGCAAAACTTAAAATAAAAGCATAATCCATCACCCACATATAACAACTATTAATTTTGCCAATCACTTTTAAGTTTTTTCTTTATGCATAGTTTCATATTGAGTAGAAAAAATAATGTATAAGTTTACATATTTTTTGTTTAACATTAGAGCATAGTTTTCTCTTGGTTATATAAATATCCTTCCAACGGTGATTGTAATTAGCTGCAATATATATCATAGCATAGTTAAACTGTGTTTACTTAACCAGTGTTGGACATTTAGATGGTTTCATCTCTGCTTCTTAAAATTTGTTAGCATTTAGGATTATTTTGTTAAAACCAATTTCTAGAAGTAAATTTACAGGGTCAAAGAGAATGAAGTTTTTAAAACTTTTCATATGTATTGTCAAATTGTTTTCTAAAGGTTTACTCCAAGTTTTACTTTCACCAGCAGTATATGAGAGCGTATGTCTCATCACACTTCCACAGCATCGAATGACAGAATTTTAAAATGTCTTACTGTGTTAAAAAGGATGCCTTATTATTTTATTGCTTATTATTTATTGTATTGATTATTCTGCTGTTGTTGCTGCAAGAAAGTAGTTGCAAGTCTAGCCATACCTATATAGAAATATGAAACACTTGCCTTTCAGTTTTTGCCATTTGAGATGCTAATACAGTGAATGTCTCCTCTAGCCTTCATACACCGAATTTGACATCAGTGGCAATGTCCTCGCTCTGATCTTCAATCAAGGAATGATCTGGTAAGCCAGCTGTGGACAGTTTATCACTTGAAGAAAGCCTCCAAGATCATTTTTGCATGAAGCACTGTAGCCTGGTGTTAGAGAAGTCCACAGTCTGCATCTAACTCAACATTTGTCTTTTTGCAAAGTGAATGGCTATGAAGAGTTTACTTTTTTTCCCCATATTTTAAATCTTAATTCTAAAAGGCATCTGCCTGTTTTGCAGAGCACTCCTTCATCAAATACTGGGAGTCTAGGTTCTGGCTTCTAGATTATTTGAAGGCTTTTTATAATTTCATATCCTGTGATACTAGGATCTGACAGTGAAACATTAATGATCCCATTACCCCATGTTAAGAATGAAAGAAATTAGTGTAAGGTCTTTCCAAGAAACTTATTTTATTTGCAGTCACTATTGAATATGTTTTAAATGGAATTTATAGCTACTTTAAAAACTATTAGCTTACCAAATCCAGTAGTTTATAGAGATGAAATACATGTTTTAGGAAGGTTTATTTAGAAATATGATCTTTATTTAGTATTTGTTTCATGGGGTCACTTGCACATCGGAATTATTTCTTTTAATGTACAAAGGATTGTTATATCTTTTATTAAATGAAAGCATTTTCACTGTAAACTTTGACAGGTTAAGATGAGTTGATACAGTAGAAACCATTTTTGACTTTAAAAATGGAATCATAGCAGGAGATTCATCTGTGGACCGTGTGTCTTGAAAATCTGTCACTCTTAACTAAGAACACCCCAACCCACAGCAGTTACAACTGAGCTTCTTTATCCCATTGACACAGATCTAATATTGTGCCAATCACACCATTGTCCTAGGTGCAAGTACTAGTTACTGGGGTCAGTTTTTGTGCAAGCTTCATCTATTACTCAACTCCTTCAACCATAGCTAGTCTGAATTGTTAAACCTTTGTGAGAGCAAACCTCTCTGCAAAAGTAAAAATGATCTTGCTTCAGTAATATAAAGACCACAGTCAAGGGCCTCATCATCCTGCCTTGGGGCCTGTCAGATTTCTGTGCCTCACTAGGTCAATCAATCTGAAGAGAAGACTATGAAAAGATCCTCCTCTCCATTGTCAGGTATGTTTAAAAACGTGATTCCTGTTCCCTTGCTTTCTAAATTTTACAGGTTATGGCTTATATGTCCAGAGAGTCATTAAGGAGTGAAATGCGTCCTTTCTTCTCCAAGCAGGGAGGAAAGTCAAGGTGGCTCAACATGTGACTATCACCAGAGATAGCAAAGGGCTCAGCTTCCAGATCTTTCGTTTCCTGTAGGGGATTCTGCTGTCATGGCAGAAAATGGCTAACGGTGCTATTGGAGTAATGAGAAACCACTGCCTTATATCAGTTTTAAAACTCCCTGGCTCTTATGCAGAGTGTCGTAAATCCCTCAGGCCTGGCGTGGCGCCATTTGTGCAGACATATGCTGCAAGTCTGTTTCTTGTTCTTTCATAGTGAAGACAACAGATTGGCCTAGAAATTTGTTTTCATTGTCAGCAAAGCTCTTATAATTGTGTCCTGATTTGTTTCACTTGTAATTTTGCACCTATTTAGTCCACTGTTGTTCATATTGAAATTCTTAAATATCTAAACAATCTTCTCCAGTTTTCTCATGGGCAGACCCATCATCAAAATCTTTGCAGTATCATTACACTATCACTTTCTATGTATTCAACCTTCAGATATTGGTCAAATATTGCTTCCGGTTAGTTTGAAGAGGACTTTAGAAAGTGATTGTGTTTTTTGAGTGTACTAAGATGTTCACACACTTCCCAGAGTTCTAGAAGCAAAATATTGAATAACTATTATTCCCCTTCAGGTCAACCCTTTGTACAAATGGTCTTTTCCTAACTGCCAGGAAGTTGGTGACAGGGTAGGGATGTGGTGTGGGGAGTGTGTAGTCTAGGTTTAGAAGGCTACCTTGTACTCACACATGTAATCCACTATTTTATGAGGCATAAGGATCTGATGCCTAAGTATGGCCATTTGCTACAGAAATGATCAAAAGAGGATGGAGATTTTGTGTTCAATTTTATTGGTTTGTGACTGGAGACATTCAATAACCGCTTTAGGAGTTTCTGAGTAATGAAGGTTATTTACACCGATGTTATTAAAGTCAAACAATTATAGGTAACATCCATTTTTTTATGAATTGGCTGATATGATCAGTAAAACTATATTATACACGTCTTTTTAAAATAGCGTAGGTTTTGTAATCAGATTTTTAAATGATGAAAGCATATCATATCTCTACTCTATCAGAGCAGGATGTAGCTGGGGCAGAGCACACACAGTGAGAAAGAAGATAGGTTTAGACGTTGTTCCAATGCTGTCTCCTGTGTCTCCCTGCCAGTCTTGTCACTTTCTGCTACCTCATTTTCTCACTTGATCAAATGTGAATAATTTACCTGACACGTACCGTGTCACTGGAACAATAAGAAGAGCTAAATAAAAGAAGCTTTGATTTGCTTTGATCTTCTTGGAAGAAAAGCATTTTATAAGCCTAAGGTATTACAATGATCTTCAACTGACAGATGACGGGATCAGGTCTGGCTAAGGGACTTAGTGAGCTGAGCTGATTAGTGAGTCACGGGCAAAGAAAGAATGAGCTTTAAGATTCAGATATCACTGTGCCGGGATCTCTTTTTCTAGGATAAAATGTTCTTGAGTCATTTGTTCAAAATGCCTATGTGATATTTATTTTGAAATTCTGAAATTTATTTATCTATAGATGCACTTACATATATGAGTGTCCATATGTGTGCATACAGATAAACAACGCATGCCTATGTATAGGTACACATATATGTGGCTTTAGGCAAAACTGTATCTTAGGATAGACTAGGTTGTGCAGCAATTAAATACAAACCCTCAAATCTCAGTGGCTTAGAAAAGGAAAAGTTTATTTCTTATTTACTCCACGTGTCCAATGTGAGTTGGTAAAGGACTGTGCTCATGTTAGTTACTCTCACTGTGGAGTCATAGACTGTGATAGAATAGGATCCATCTGGAACATCACTGGTCAGAGCAGAGAGAGAAGAGAACAAAAAACCCTACAGAGCTATTAAAGTTTCCATCCCGTAGTGAGACACTTCATTTTTATCTCTGTTTTACTGGCCAAAACAAATCACATGGCCAAGCCTGACTTTTAGAAGGGGGCAAGCACAATCATCTGCAAGCATGTTACATTACAGACGTTGGCATTTGGGAATATAATCTAGTGCTTTGTAATTCTGACCCCTCAGCTGGGACTGTCACTCACCTACTTGCTCATGTTTCTGGGGTTCCAGATTCTCTCTTGCTATCCTGTAACCAAGATACACAGTATTGTTCCAAAGTTTACCCTCATTTAAAAAAAAAACTAATGAACTTTATATCTTAGAGAAGTTATAGGTTCGCAGCAAAATTGAGTGGAAAGTACAGAGTTCCCATATACCCCCAGTCCCCACCCACGCACAGCCTTTCCCACTGTTGACATCTTCCACCACGCTGTACATTTGTTGTCACTGATGAACCTATATGGACAAATCATCATCACCCAAAGTACATACCATTTTTTTAATAGTTTAACTTTCTACAAAATCTATGGTCAATTCAGTATGTTAAATGTTTTTCAGATCTGTTGTATGGAAACCTATCAACAACACAGCACAAACTGTAGCAGATTAGCACTTTTCAATGAAATGATTTAATGTTGGATTGCACAAGTTCAATTATAGCCAAAACTAACTTCTTCATCTAACTCAAACCCCCGCCCTCCATAATATACCAAATTTACATTGGATTGATTTAAAAAATTATTCTACATAACCAGGAAATATAACATGCAAACCCTAACTAGAATTGCTGAAGGTTTTATTATATTTGAGACAGTTTAAAAGATAGAATTCTGCTTATACTTCTGAAATAAGTGTACATGTATCCTCTTTTGAGTTTCGGATTAATAAATTACCATTATGGTGCTGATGGATTTTCTCATCAAAGAAAATTGAAATTTATTTTATTGAAATAATAACTACTGAAGCCATCAAGTAAGAGTGACCTCACCCAAATGGTTCCTGTTTAAAAGTGACATTTGAAAATACTTTTTAAAAAAAAAAAAATCTCATGTACAGACTAGTGGATTTCCTGGACAAGCTAAAATAAGAAAGTAAACAGATAAACTAAATTAAATGGATGTGTCAAATTTTCATTTCATAAACACATAAAGCTTACAATGGAATATCAACAAAACATAGTATCTTGTGAGGCACAAATACATAATTCCCATTGGCTCTAAAATACCATAACAGCCACAAATAGAAAATAACATCAGAAAAACTTATTTTAACATTTTCTCTTTCATTAAGTAAAAATTAATTAGCTATGACAAAATAATTAATGCACATATGCAGTTTATTTGAATATAATGGGTGATTTTAAGGGTTAATTATAAAAAAAGCTAATTTTTTAATTTTTAAAATTTTGGGGGGAAGTTTTTTTTAAAGCTAAATTTTTAGATATATTAATGATATGAATATTAGGGGAAAGTAAATTTTTTTTACAAGTAGAAGAGAGAAGTAGAACAAATGTAATATACTGTTTGGTCTGTTGTAGTTTAAAGTTACTAATGATAAGTGGATATAGTTAGCGACCAGCAGAGTTTCTGTGAAAGACTTCAGTACACAATATCTGCAATAATGGGGAAGATGGTAAAATGTGTACAGAAGATGGAAATAGAATTAGTTAAGTTTATTAACATGAAGGGTTTACGTGATTGAAAGTGGCAAACACATTTTCTGCCTTTGGCAAATAAGCATGATGTAAAATAAATACGGACTGTGTGACTTTGTTGGGGGGTGAAGCTCCATGGTGAGCAGAGCTCTGTTTTTCTTTCCAGGATGGGCTCCTTCTTCGCTCCCAGCCTCCCAGGCATCAATATCCTTCGGCTCCACACATCCATGTACTTCCAGGGCTGGGCTGTGATGTGTTGCAACGTTCCTGAGGCGAGGGTCTTCAAAGCTTCCAGATCGAATAACTTCTATCTGGGGATGCTGTTGCTCATCCTCTTCCTGTCCACCATGCCCGTCCTGTACATGATCGTGTCCCTCCCACCATCTTTCGACTGTGGCCCCTTCAGGTTCTTGCCTTTGCAATTTCTTTTGGGCAAAGTTTTCTTTCAGGGGTGGAGATGGGAATGGTCACTCGTCGTATAAGCTATTTTTTTTTCCCCCAAACAGTGACATTTTGGTCTGTAGGAATTGAGCTCTTTTAGATATTCAGGCTCATTATGTGACATGGAAATTCTTAAGCAAGATCCATCTATTGATATTTTCTCACTTAGCAATCATAAAAGGGAAAATAACTGCTCCAGGCTCTGTCCGTGTAAAATATGTACACTGAATCTGAGCTATTTCTGTATAAGGAGTTAGCGAAGAGCAAGGTTTGATTACACTAGTCTGGATATGAACATTTTCCTGATGCTAGGTCATCTCATTCAGACATTGGAAGCTATTGTTACTTTTCACATGAACCACCTAATTGAAAATATAAAAGAGGAAGGAAGGGAGGGAGGGAGGAAGGAAAAAAGAAAGATGACTCCACAAGCTACCTAGGAAATGGGATCATTATTAGACAATAATGAATATAAAGAGGGTCACATAATTTATAATCCAAATCTACATGCTAGGAAAAAAATTAAGGATGTTCCTCGTGTATATTCTCCTCAAATAACAAGAATAAATCACACAAGTCAGTAATAAAGAGTCAAGAAGGCTCTTTGATCCAACTTAGAAATATACTTTTCTACAGTTCTCTATGACAGCGTTCCCTGTGACACTTACCAAGAAAGCAAAGTTTCCAGATCTGGAGGATTGAGATTTCATTCTACCACAAGTCCGCCCAAGAATCTCTACATGTTGAGTCACTGATCAGCATGCATTTGAGTTATTTCTACTTTTCAGTGGGAAAATGTGAATACAAAAAGCCATGTGAATGACAAGCATGATGCAGTAGTGGACATGTATAATTTCTCCTTCATGCTGTCAGACCCAAGTTATTAAATTAAAGTCAAAATAGTCTTTGCCCACAGACTTAAGTATAAAAGAAGCATTTTCATTCTAATAATAGTCTGTTATTACTGCTTTCCTGGACATAAAGAAAGAAAATGTTAAGCCTACTGATTGTGCAAAAACAGCTGGAGTTCTGTCATACATATTCAGGAAGCTGAAGTTGACAAATCCTGTTCCCCCGCCCCACCCAGGTGGGGGGAAGTAAATAATGCAGACAGTGACATCTGGAGGCTAAATATGAAACTACAGTTTTGAAAGAGCAATTGGTCTTAATAAAGCTCAGGGTACAAAGTTCAAGAGACAAGTCATCTAAAGACTTTAGTTAATTGCAAATTACCCACACAACTAAATATCCAGGATAAGTTTTAGATGTGCTTTTAACTTTTTAATTGGAAGTGGGTCCTTCTCAGAAAAACATATCAAAGGAACTTAGTTGTCTGCCAGGGAAACCCCACAAGGTCAACATGGAGCTGGGTGGTGGTAACAAAGGTCCATTAATATTAAAAATATCATTGAGCTAGTCACGTACAATGACTGCACAATTTTAGCTTTTTGCATCCTGACTCCTTTGCCTCTCTTTAAATCACACTGAGTTACTATGATTTTAATGAATAAAACTTAGTCTGTGTCTAACACATAGTATCTGACTTTGACCAACTGTTTCCTAATTGGCAAACTTTGGCAGATGAGCAGCATGTATATCACTATTTTGAGATCAAGGAAATTTAAATATTTTCAGTAGAGTACTGGGAAAGGGGTATCTCTGTCCTATTTAGATAGTCTGTTGTTCCTGGAGCAAAAGAATGTATACTTGGTTTATTCTCTAGATTTTAAAGCTTTAAGCATTGTTCTGCCTTGGTAGTGAGGTGAGAAAGGATATATTAGTAGGAGACTCATGACTTGCCATCCTTTTGGACCCTGAGTTTGAGGTGGTTTGACCAGCCTGCCTAGTGAAGTGTATCTGACCCTACTTGGCACCTGGGTGGGCAGCAAATTGGTAAACGTGCATTTGAGGTAGGTTAATAGGGACAGCACAGTAATGGCCAGGCTCTCCCAGGTGCATGTATGTTTTCAGGTAAGGTGGCTACAATACCTTAGAAGACCCATTCTGCAAAGCAATTTGATGAGATAGTCTAGCTTGTTCTGGTTTCATAAGAACTGGCTAGGGAGGGTGAATTTTCCAGAAAATTATTCCAGTAGGCTATTAAGTGGATTTACCTTAACAGTTTGACAATTAAAAAACTATTTCTTTGGTGTCCAGATGAAGAAAATTCTTCTAATTGCTCTACCACATTTCCTGACACTTGATGTTTCTCCCCCAGCTCCCTCACTAATAATTCTGGACAATTTGTAGTTCTCTAGGTTCTCATACACCTCCCTGCTAACATTATGGTAATTATAACTTCATGTATTTTCATCTAACTGCAAAGGTAATATGTGTTTACCCTAGAAAAACCAGAAATTATAGAAATTTTCGCATGAAAATAAACACTAACCAAAGACCTGAAATAACAACTCTCAACATTTTTTTGGCATTTTGTATTCTGGTTTTCTTCTTATGCAGATTTTTAAAATAACTGAGATCATATAACATGTATAGGTTTATGTTATATTGTGACACTGCTATTACATTACTCACTTGATGTGTTGATTTTTCTTAATAGTGTAGCTGACTTCTAGAGTTTAGGGACAGAATATTTTCATCCCTGTGAGTCAAAACACAGTAGAGTGTTGGCCGTAATTTGAGTTAATGAATGAAGAATGACTGTTTGTCATGCACTAAGCACTAGAAGAGATGTAGGTGTACATTGGGCATTGATTCTGGCCAGGTGGACCTTTCGGTCTGGCTGAAAAGACAGACATAGACTATTCTAATTAGGGTGGATAGAGCTATGCCCAAGAGAGCTATAGATTAACTTCAGTAACATTTCACTTGGCTGTATACTCGCAACAGGCTGGAAAGGACTTCTGGGAATATGCATACTTTGGTTCACCCGTCAGAAAAAGGGAGTGCCAGGATTTGTAGATGCTTCTATAGTTTGTGTATAATAAAAGATCTGGACTCCTGGTAAGAGACCTATCCTGGAAAAAGCACCCAAGAATCCTCAGAGATACTAATAACTTCACATTTCTCATACACTGGATGCAAAGAAGACCTTTGTGGGTAGGGACGATTTTGTAAAATTCCAGTTCCCTCATTCTGACATTCATCAAACACAGCCCTAGAGGCTGGAGAAGGTGGGGTGGATTGTCTCATTTTTTCTCATCCTCCTTGCCTGTCTCCTCATTCTGGCTGTATTCCATATGTCATGGTCATGAAGCATGGTCAGCTAGAATGGATGAAGAATGAGAAACCTTAGTACAATAGGTTGATATAATCTTAAATTGTCAGTAAGCTTCATCCCCCCTTATGTATCATAGGTCTTGCTAATTAGTGTGTAGATCTATAATTTGTGAAGCAAAATTTGTACCTCTGTAGTCCAGTGACTCCTGACAAGATACTTGAAGTCACTCTCAGTCTATTAAAAGATACTGGAGAGAAAAAAATCTGATCTGGAACTTGTGGGTCATGTTCAATTAGTAGTTAAGAATGTATAAAGGTCAAAAACCAAAAGTGAAGCCAAAATATTTGACTCAGTGTTATGCCAACCTTTATTCTCATGATACATACAAATTGCTGGTAAATAATGCAATATCTTCTCTGAAAATTACATCATTTCATAGTAGAATCAATATGTATATACAGAAAAAAATAATTTGGCATGATGGGTGTTACCTGATAATGCTGAATATTATATACTAAGTTAAGACAGACATCCTGCTCTCATTTCTCTAGTTTATAGGGGCTGAGAACAAACTCACTAAGGACCTTTGCTTTTTTAGGCTTGTTTTCTTTCTCTTCCCATTTTCTGTTCTTAGCTGGTATTCATTAGGGCCTGTCCAGAAGAAATACTGAGAGAGAAAGGATTCAGCATTCAGTGCAGTTACCTATTAATAGCTCAGATGAAAGAGGTCTGGTGGAAAATGAGATAGAAGCTATAACATGGAAAGAGATATTAGATTATTTATGGAGTTTATTCCATTAAGCTATTCCTTATGCTCATTTCCAAGGCTAATTAAAAAAATTGAGCACACTATTTGTTCAGCCCAAAGAAAGTATTCTCATATAAGAACAGCTGCTGAGGAGTAGACTTACAAGCTATTTATAAAATATATTTTCATACATATATAAGGTATATTTATATTTTATATAATATATTTGTTCCCAAGTAACCCAAATCTTAGAAATATAGCTTTAAAAAATCTTCTCCTGGAGGGAAGGGATAAATTGGGAGATTGGGATTGACATATACACTGCTATATATAAAATAGATAACTAATAAGGACTTACTGTATAGCACAGGGAATTCTACTCAATATTCCATAATGACCTCTATGGGAAAGGATTCTTAAAAAGAGTGGATATATGTATATGTATAACCGATTCACTTTGCAGTACACCTGAAGTGAACACAACACTGTAAATCAACTATACTCCAAAAAAAATTTTTTTTAAATCTTCTCCTAATGCTGTGGTTAATTTCCTAACTGCTTTGACTATGTGTTTGTGTTGGCATAACATTTCTCATATCTTATCCATTTGTTGACAGTATGAGGCCAAAGTGTCAGGAGTTGTAGCTAAACATCAGATTTCTAACCTGAAAGAGTACTTAGGCAATGTTTGAGAAAAATTTCTAGTTTTCTTGCTATAAACATAGTTTTTACATCTTGCTATAAACATGGTTTTTACATCTGTTTTAAATGAACTTCTCTCCTTTTTTTTTTCAGTGGCAAAAATAGGATGTTTGAAGTCATCGGAGAGACACTGGAACATGATTTTCCAAGCTGGCTGGCAATGATCTTGAGACAGCTTTCTAATCCTGGATTAGTTATTGCTGTTATTTTGGTTATGGTGTATGTGCTTTCCCTCCTCATAGAAAGAGCCTTTGTAATGTTCTTCCTGCGCCTTTTAAGTTTCAGTGTTTTCAACTCTCTTTCTCCCCAGGGGTTGTGCTGTGACCTAACCAATTCAGCACTGATTACGTGGTGGTGAGAGGCTAAAATTCATGAGCCATATTCTGATCCTATTGCATGTAATTTACAGCCATCTGCATCTGTCTTTGCCTGCCTAGGATTATAAGATTTGTTTCCCAAGTAACCAAAATAATTATCAGTAAACAGCTACAGCAAGGGAAACATAAACACTAAATCTAATCAGCACATCAAGCTTCCTCCCCACCCCCCTGACCTCCACCTTTTTTCCATAAAGCATATGGCTGTGAATACACAGAAGTGATGAGCCTCTAAGTTAATATTCCCCTTGAGGGCCCTATAGGCTATATTTCAGGGCTAAAGGCTTAAGGGATCTTAGAAATTACCCTGTCCTTCTTCCTAGAAGGCCATTAATAACTATGTCTGCCCATGATGATAGAATCAGAGGACCAGAAGGGTCTTGGAAAGGTCACTTAGTCTATCCTTTCGAAGTCAGAGATGATATCCAAAGGGGAACTTGAGAGGGGTCTTTTGTTCCCGTATTACTTTCATTGGTTTCTGAGTCTTGGCCACCACAGGTAAACTTACATTCTAAGCAAAAAAAAATATATATATATATATATGCTTCCTATGGAAGAGCTACAAAAAGTGCCCCAGTCCTTCCTTTCAAACCCCAAGGCCTTCCTAAATAAAAAGTCTAGAACTGCCACTGATCTCAATCAAGGAGGGCAAGTATGAAGTCACCCTCGTGGACACTTTAGTGGAACAAAGCTGACACAAAGGGTTGGATTTGTTTAAATAAAGGTAAAACTAGGAAATGTCAGGGAGAGATTGGGAGAGAAATCCCAGTGGTTTAAGTAAATGAACTGGGTTCTGGGCCAAGTTGTTAGGATCGTCTCTGTGATGGTCGTGGTCACAAGCCACATCAGTGAGGGCAGGTGTCATCTTCAAGTTTATAAATTAAGAAACTGACTTGGAGGAGGGAAGGGATTTTTCCCTCAGTGAGAATACATCAAAAATGACAATAGTAGGGCTTTGACAGTAAATCCAGCGCTCACCCCTTTACACCATGATGCCTTCTTTGAGGGAGAGCTAATAGCCTGTAGGGATAATTAAATAGTAAAACAGATTATTTTATGTAGTACAGAACCTTGATCATGGGGTGCCGTTAAGAATCTGATAGTAAATCTCTGGTGCAGATGTGTTAGAAAATGACTTGCTGGATGCAGCATGTTTCACCAGATGGCCCTGGAAGTGATTTTCCTTCTTAGTGTTTTTACAATACAGTGGCTTTTGAGAGCATGGCTTTTAGGAGTCAAGGCCTTTTCGTGGTAAAAAGGAGGTCTTGTTTTAAAACACACACACTCAAAACAATGTCAGATTTTATGACTATATTCTTGACTTATTGAGAGAGATTTATTTTTAAGCAAAAGAGCAACATTGTTCTAATGCCACTAATTAAAGATTTAATAAGCTGCCCCAGGGGTATGGAAGAGGAATGAACACTGCCTTTGTTCCAGGCACGATCCATATATTAACTCATTTAATTTCCACAATAACCTTAAGAAGTTGGCCTCATTAATCATATTATTGAAAGCACATGGAAGATCTGCCCCAAATCAAATGGCTAATAGGTAAATTCAAACCCATGTCTTTTTATTCCCCACCACTTATTTCCCACCTACTCATTTACAGCACCAAACACTGAGTTCAGGCTGAGTGGAAATGCTCAGAAGAACTGGAAGCCACTTGTCAGAGATGGTCCACACCCAGGGTTGGCACACTTTTCCTTAAAGGACCATATAGTAGTTACTTCAGGCTTTGTGGTCCAAGAGGCAAAATTGAGGATATTATGTAAGTACTTATGTAACTATTTTAAAATGTAAAAACCAATCTTAGTTCATGGGCCATACATAACAGGCTGGGAGTCAGGTTTGCCCCAGAGACCATAGTTTGACAACCCCTGATATAGACTGTCTAGAGGGAAACTGGCATGATATAAGGTCAAATAGATGTCCCACAAGGATGATTTTAGTTCTGACGTTTTGATTTAAAACCCGAAATTCAGCTTATTACTGATTTGATTTTTCAAATACTGAGGTCTCATCTTCAGCACTTTATGATGCCCATACAGTTGGCTTGGATTTTTTTTTTTAATTTATTTATTTATTTTTGGCTGTGTTGGGTCTTTGTTGTATGGGTTTTCTCTAGTTGCAGCTAGCGGGGGCCACTCCTCGCTGCGGTGTGCTGGCTTCTCATTGCGGTGGCTTCTCCTGTTGCGGAGCACGGGCTCTAGGCACGTGGGCTCCAGTAGTTGTGGCATGCAGGCTCACTAGTTGTGGCTCACGGGCTCCAGAGCACAGGCTCAGCAGTTGTGGCACACAGACTCCATCGCTCCGTGGCATGTGGGATCTTCCCGGACCAGGGTGCAAACCTGTGTCCCCTGCATTGGCAGGCGGATTCTTAACCACTGCGCCACCAGGCAGTCCTGGCTTGGCTTTTTATTACCTTTAATTAGAGAATGTTTACAAGCATTTTGAATTTCCCCAATGAATCATATTACATCAGCTTGGTTGGTTTTTGGGTAACTGAGTAGAGTTTGAGCTAGTTCCCTGCAGGCGGTTTCATTCCTTTGGAGACTAAAAAATGATCTATGAAGAATACTCATTGAAGGTGCATCTCAAGGTAGAAAAAAAGTGATGGATAAATAGAGAATTACAGAATTGCAAATGACTTGTGAGGTCTTTGAGTTCTTCCTCCAAATGCCGGCACTTTTCTAAGAAAACAGACACACCATATTTATTGAACACCTAATTCATGCCAGATATTACACCAGATGCTTTCATGTATGTAATTTCATTCAAAATCCTATCACTTGTATAAGAAATAAACCCAGCAGAAATGATATCAATAATCTTGTTGCTAGCAGCAGATGGCTCATAAAGGTTATGATCTGGCATGTTGGTGAGTAGGGGAAATGTGTTCAGTAACCAGTTATTTGCAATAAAGGGCAATGCCAGTTATGTTTTTTTTTTGTTTTTTGTTTTTTGTTTTTTTGTGGTATGCGGGCCTCTCACTGTTGTGGCCCCTCCCGTTGCGGAGCACAGGCTCTGGACGCTTAGGCTCAGCGGCCATGGCTCACGGGCCCAGCCGCTCTGCGGCATGTGGGATCCTCCCAGACCGGGACACGAACCCGCGTCCCCTGCATTGGCAGGCGAACTCTCAACCACCGTGCCACCAGGGAAGCCCCGTTTTGTTTTGTTTTTTAAATGCATTCTTTCTTTGTTTTGCTTTGTGAAGATGAACATGTTTATTTTTGCAAAAACGTTTGGCTGGAATTTGCTCTTTTTAGAAATGTCACTTAAATGCCAGGACTATTCTTTTATGAAATAGTTTCTTGTGAAGGAGAGAGAAATGCAAACAATACATTCTATGGATGAAAAAAAGCCATGTTAATTAACTATGACGATGAGGATTATGGTCTTAGTTGTAAAAGCCAAAGGAAGGAATTTAAAGTGGAAAGTCAGTTTCCTTTTTATTCCACACATTCCCTAAGCTTCAAGAGATTTTCTGTTCTATTGGATGCCATTGATATCGATTTGAAATGGTGTTTTCAATTATAACTTAAAGTGATGTTAATACATTTCCAAGAAGAACCTAAAATTAGGCAGTGAGGAACATCAGACAGAGCCCTGGGCTGTGGAGGAGGAGCCTTGGGGGTCCAACTTCCCAGGTCCATCCCAGTTGCTGTGGAATTCTGAATGTACTTCTTCACCTCTCTGTACTTCAGGCTTTTATCTACAAAAGAGGTTCAGAGTAGAAAATACCTTAAAGTCACTCCAGTGCCAACATTATATGATTTAGTTAATGTAAATTTAAGAAGAATCTTGAGGAACTGAAAAATACCATAAATTTTATTTTATTTTTTTTAAATTTAGTTTGACTATCTATTATCTCAATTCTACTGCAAAAGGCCAGAAGGCAGCAAATCTGGATCTAAAAAAGAAGATGAAACAGGTAGGATACAATTTATTTCAGAGAAATATTTGTCTTTATTAATGTCAAGTAGTAGAACGCATCAGGAAATCTCATGTTCTTCTTCTCTACTATTTTTTATTATGTAGCAAGCTTTGGAGAACAAACTGCGAAACAAGAAAATGGCAGCTGCACGAGCAGGTTTGAGCTATGTTATGTTTGCATTCTTTCTCCCCTACAAACAGTATGCTCTTCCTTTTTTTCCTCTCAAAATAGGGCATTTGATGCAGAGGAGCATTACTGCCCCAGCAAGTCACCCCATACTCTTTACTGTCCACCTTTTTAAGCCCTTTTCAGGCATCATATCCAAGGGGTTTGGTTGTTTTCCAGTGGGAGAAAGAAAAGAGAAAGAAAACTTCAGGAATATAAAAGTAGCAGTAGTGATAGAAAAGGGATCTTGCAAATTGACGGAAGATGAAGAAAACATCCACATACATAGTCATACAAAGAGCAGATACAGATGCCTAATCTCTCCTGCCCATTTTGACCATATTTATACATAGATGGATACACTGGGAAGATGCTAATAGTATCCTCTAGGCTCATCACTGTTGCTTTCCCAGAGCCTTCTCTAATTTGTTAACCTCTCTTACTTTTTAACCTCTTTAATTTTTAAACTATTAGAATAAGGCATACTCTTATTTGCCAAAATTACTGATATGCTTTGCCTTCTACATGCAAAAGTGATGCCTAAGAAATTCAATAAAAATCTTTTCCAACTCCTCCCTCATTCCCAACTCTACAACTCTTTATATTAGTACGGCCTTTTTTCCCCCTGTAAGTAATAATAATAATAATAATTTTAAAAACTCAACCCCAATTAGTTTAAGTAAAAAAATGTATTGGTTCACACAAATGAACAGAAGAGTGGTATGTAAATTTTCTGGTCACATTTTACCCCAAGTTTAGAAGCAATCAGGATTGAACCCCATTTCTCTGTGGTTCTTTCAACACTACACTCCTTTTATGTTGGCCAGCCTTTACGGCAGCAAGAGTGGATGCAGCAACTTCTAATGATGTCGTGTCCTTAGATTATATTTGTCTTAGTTTTTTTTTTTTTTTGTCATTAAGCTATTTGTTTCTTAACTGCATTAATTTTTTTTCAGCTCTATTGAGGTATAATTGACTAATAAAATTGTAACACATTTGAAGTGTATAATGTGATAATTTGATATACACATACATTATGAAAGGATTCCCACCTCCAGTTAATTAACACATCCATCACCTCACATATTTACCTTTTTTTAGCACATTTCAATTATACAATACAGTGTTACCAACTATAGTCACTATGTTGTACATTAGATCCTCAGATGATATTCATCTTATAGCTGAACGTTTTGTACCCTTTTACTAACCCCTCCCAATTTCCCCAACCTCGTATCTCTGGCAACCATCATTTTACTCTGTGTCTATGTGTTCCACTCTTTTGTTAAAGCTTCCACATATAAGTGATACCGTGACATGTTTGTCTTTCTCTGTCTGGCTTACTTCACTTAACATAATGCCCTCCAGGTTCGTCCATATTAAATGGTAGTACTTCTTTCTTTTATAAGGCTGAATAATATTCTATAGTGTGTGTGTGTGTGTGTGTGTGTGTGTACACACACACCACACCTTCTTTATCCATTCGTCCATAGATGGACACTTAGGTTGTTTTCATACCTTGGCTGTTGTGAATAATGCTGCAATGAACATAGGAATACAAATGAATGATTTCATTTCCTTTGCATATCAATCCAGAAGTGGGATTGCTGGATCACATGATAGTTCTGTTTTCAGTTTCTTGCAGAACCTCCATACTGTTTTCCATTGTGACTGCACCAATTTACATTCCCACCAACAGTGCACAGCGTCCCCTTTCTTCCCATCCTCATCAGCATTTGCCATCTCTTGCCTTTTTGGTAATAGACATTTTAACATGTGTAAGGTGATACCTCATTGTGGTTTTGATTTGTGTTTTCTTGATGACTAGTGATGTTAAGCACCTTTTCATGTACCTATTGGCCATCTGCATGTCTTCTTTGGAAAAATGTCTATTCGATCATTTGGCCATTTTTAAATTAGGTTATTATTATTATTATTTTGCTATTGAGTTATATAAGTTCCTAATATATTTTAGATATTAACGCCTTATCGGATATGTGGTTTACAAATATTTTCTTCAATTCTCTAGGTTGCCTGTTCATTTTATTTATGGTTTCCTTTGCTGTACAGAAGTTTTTTGGTTTAATGTAGTCCCATTTGTTCCTTTTTGCTTTTGCTGCCTTTGCTATTGGTGTCAAATCCAAAAAAATCATTGCTAGGAAAAATTGCAAGAGCTTTTCCTCTAAGTTTTCTTGTAGGAGTTTTATGCTTTAAGGTCTTATATTCAAGTCTTGAATCATTTCGACTTGATTTTTGTGTATGGTGTAAGTTTAATTCTTTTCCATGTAGACGTCTAGTTTTTCCACCATTATTTATTGAGGAGATTATCCATTTTCCATTGAATATTCTTGGTGTTTTGTCAAAAATCAATTGACCATATATGCATGTGTTTATTTTGGGCTCTCTATTCTGTTCCATTGATCTTTGTGTCTGTTTTTATGCAAATACCATATAGTTTGGATTACTACAGCTTTGTAATATAATTTGAAATGAGGAAGTGTGATGCCTCTAGCTTTGTTCTTTCTCAAAATTGCTTTTGTTATTCGGGGACTTTTGTGGTTCTGTATGAATTTTAGGATTTTTTTCCTATTACTGAGAAAAATGCCATTGGAATTTTGATAGGGATTGCATTGAGTTTGTAGATTGCTTTGGGCAGTATGGGCATTTTCACAATATTAATTCTTCCAATCATTAACACAGAGTATCTTTCTATTCATTTGTGTCTTCTTCAATCATTTATTAAAGAAATTTATTTGTGTCTTCTTCAATCATTATATAATGACCTTCTTTGTTTCTTGTTACAGTTTTTGGTTTAAAGTCTGTTTTGTGTGATATAAGTAGAGCTATGCATGCTTTTGGTTTCCATCTGCATAAAATATCTTTATCCATCCCTTCACTTTCAGTCTATGTATGTCCTTAAAGCTGAAGTGAGTCTCTTGTGGACATCACATAGTTGGAAGCATTTATGTCGCACATATCTGCAGTGCTTTTGTATTTGCTCTAGATTGGGACTATAACTTAATATTATCAAATTAGTATTTAGAATAGTGAATGAAATGTTCTGACTTCTAAGATCTGAATTCTAGTTAAGGCATATTATTACCTTTGTTTTAAATAATATAATGTTATTGCATACTAATTTACCTGATATTTTCCCATGATTTGTTAAAAATATGTATAACCTTTGTGAAGGCAAAGACTATATCTTATTTATCGTTGTTTCCTCAGGACTTAATATAGGACTTTATATATCAGTCACTCAATAAATACCTACTAATTTTCTAGGACAATGGACAATAAGGAATTCTTTTACTGGAAAAATTTGAAATGAACAGATTTCTATACTAATTACATAAGCAGTAATGAATGAATAAACATTTCAAAAAGAGCAGAACTTTTATTCTCCTGTCTTTAGAATTTGTGAGGATTTTGTAAAATATAGGAATATTTGACAACAAATATTATAGCAACCTGGAACACATTTGAAGGTATAGATTTCAGGCCACCTCATTCAGAACCATTAAGCAAACTGAAATTTTTATTTACCTCTTCTTTATCTTCTTTCTCTGTCTCTTGATTTATTTATTTATTTATTTATTTATTTATTTATTTATTTATTTATTTTGAACAGCTGCAGCTGCTGGAGGCCAGTAATTTTCATGGATATTCTGGAGGCCCAGAAGTATTCCTCATCATACTGTTCAAAACCAGTGACTTATGTGAAGGCCCAAGTAAAAAAAGAAGGATCTCTACCTTATTCCAAATTAGGGATTTGTTCCTGCACCACCACTTTCTCCCCTGAGCAACTCCCCTCACATTTTCTTTAACAAATTGAGTTTAAAATTGTGTGTGATGGAGAAGTATGGATTACTGGCTTACTTTTTGGGTTAATTTAAAAACTTTTTACTCATATGGACTTTCATTTTATACATATCTTTCTGCCTTAGTTTTCTTAGCCTGGAAGCAGGAATATTTCACCTTCTTTTTTCTTCTAAGGTCAGAAATATCTTTATAAAGTATTCATTGTAATCATTCGTTAACTCACTTTTTTTTTTGAAATTAACATCTTGTTTTCCCTTTTCATTCTGTCTCCCCATCCATGGTCCCCACAAATATACACCCAAAACCTTTTTATTTGCTGCTGGATTCAGTATGAAAAGGAATGGGCTTTTTAGAAGAAAAATCTCATGGGTTATCTCTTTGGGCTTCTGAGAGGTACACATAGTTTAAACCATATCAGGAGGTTTATATTAGCAAGCTTTGACCTGAACTGTGTTTTCTCATCCTGATGGGTCCCTACAAGTACCAGAGCCGGAGTCCATCGGGTCTGGGAATATACTGGTGACCCATGTCTTACTGTATATGGTGAGGTATGGTTCCCTATTCCCTAGTTGACTTTGGGGTTCAGCCTTTGCTATCTTCATTCCTCAGTGGATGGGTCAGTAGGAAGAGGTTTTGTGTCAGTTTCCCTGCCTAATACTCCAGCGTCTTCTCTGGACTGGACTTTAATTCAGTCAACTTGATTGGAACTTGGACTATTTCAGCTTGGACTATTTCAGTGCTTTACTAGACCCTTCCCAGAAGCGTATGTGCAAATTGTGGGGGAGTGAGTTTGTAATAAACACTGGGACCACACTGAGTGCATGACCACCAGGAACTACAATGAGGCCAGTACCTCTTAATCTGTTTACTAAATATTTATCAAACATTATGTGTCAAACATTTATCAAACGTTATATATCTTAAGTATCACCTGCTCTCTAGATTTTCTCTACCACTTTTTGCCCTACCTGCTATATCCTTAGTTTCTAGCATCTTCCAGAATACTAGATACTAGAACTTGCAAACCTGTTTTAGGATCGAACAAAATTAATGATACCTTCCCACTCGGGGCAAGACTGTCCCTTTCTTCACAATGACACAGATATTATAGTACACTATCAGTATTCAGAAAAAAGATTTGCTTTCTCTTATTCTCTATTAAGTGCAATGTCTAACAAAATCCAGTTATTATTCTACCTTTTTCAGCTCTCTTCCAAAGTTAGGACATCTTGATGGACAAATAACCCTAGACCTCAGAGTTGGCATCACATGCTTAGTAGATGGGATGCAAACAAAGGAGTTTAGCCCACAATGGAAAACCAAGTTCCTGTGGAAAAAAACAAGGGAGTGCTTTAGCAGAGGGAATCCAATGCAATGTGGGTAAGATGGGAGTCTGATGACTTTACTGCCTCCCTTGAATCAAAAATATGGACCTGGATAATATCCAGTTACAACTTTCTTTTGCCTTGTTTGGTTCACAAAAGTAAAAAAAGTGTTTCCACAATTCATTTGTAAAGAAATATATATTAAAAGAGTAAGTAAGCAGGCTTCAAAAACAAGAGACTTAAGAATGGGATGGGCAGATGTTCTCAGCTCTCAACTCAGATACACACTTGATTTTTCAGAAGACACATTGAGACCTAAGAATATTTTAAAAAATAAACTGTAGTCATAGCCTTTATTCATATCTACTTCCTGCAAGAAGGAAACAGCATTATATGATGGTGACAAGATTTCTCAAGGCCCTATATGAGGTTTCTTTTTCTCAAAGTTCTCTTGTAATGGATTGCCTTGGATGGTCCAGCTGCCTTTACCAGGATGGGTCTTGATGACTTAGTAATTATGAATGATGGAACAATGTATACATGAAATACTTGACCTCTTCTGGGAACTTAGGTATTATATAACACACATCTTTTTCATACACACCAAGAAGGTTTCATACAAATCCTTGGTCATTTAAAAATTTATAATAGTGGTACACGTTCATTACAGCAAATTTAGAAATTTTTAATAGAATTAAAAAAGCAAAAGAACCTGTAATTCCACCACCCAGAATAACTTCTGTTAACATTTTGGTGTATTTTTTTCTCAGATTCACACACACACATAGACTCAATAAAATATTTTGGATCATAAGATATATTTAGTCTTTATCCTACTTTCTTAGTTAACATTTTCCCATGTCATAAAAATTACTTCAGAACATTTTTTAATAGCTACAAAATATTTTTTGATATTAATACAGCATAATTAGTCTATTCTACTGTTGTACATTTAGGTTGATTAAAGATTAAATATTAACTTTAAATTTGGGTCCTTTCAGGACACATTTTTATGCAAAAGCATTAGTTTGTATAGACTTTTAAATCAACACATATACATTTGAAGACAGTTTCAGTCAATTTACTGATACAATTATATTACTTTCTATTACTTTCCTGATTCAGAGCAATTAGCCTTAAATGTCACTAAATTTTCTTTTGACACTGTTTTGCTTATGGCTATATAAAAACTTTTTAGGAACCATCTCATTTTTTTTAATCTTAAGGAACATATTTAAAATCTTTTTTTTTGGAAGTCAAGTTTCACATGCTGAATCAAATCAAGTATCATCCACATATGATAACCAATACAAATTGCCACCTGGGAAATTAATGATTTTTTCCTATTTTATTTGATTTACTAAAACTTTGGTCAAAGTTATTGTCTTTATGTTTTTATTTGTTATTAAAGGCAACAGGCTCAAAATTATTTCTCAATTCAAAGAATATCAGTCCTTGATATTTTACTGGAAGTTTAATTTCTGTGTTGCTGCTGCTGCTGAGGCTCATATTTCTCAGGTTACGATCACTGTTCAAAAGAAAAGCCTGGATGCATAACCTTGGCATCTTACTCATTGCTGGTAGGATACCAATCAGATTCTTTCTGCATCACTCATTGTCCATCATATGTAAACTAACAGAAACTCCCTAAATCAAATGATGTCATAGAAATATTCCATAACATAACAAATTAGTAATTGATCATGTCAAATGTATCATGACATCCAAATGTATCCAGGTTAAATTCAGAAGGTGATATAGGTTCTGAAATCCCCAGCTGGCATCTGAAGACTTCAGCAAGAATTTTAAGGGGAAAATACCATCTTAAAAGTGGATTAGAGGGCTTCCCTGGTGGCGCAGTGGTTGAGAGTCCGCCTGCCGATGCAGGTGACACGGGTTCGTGCCCCGGTCTAGGAAGATCCCACATGCCTCGGAGCGGCTAGGCCTGTGAAACGTGGCCGCTGAGCCTGCGCGTCCGGAGCCTGTGCTCCACAACGGGAGAGGCCACAACAGTGAGAGGCCCGTGTACCGCAAAAAAAAAAAAAAAAAAAAGGTCTGGACAGTATAAGACCCCATTATTACAGTCCCTCTTCTGTGTTAGCTTTCATTTGTAAACAAAAATATTCCTCACCAGCCAACACATTATACTTAAGTGCGTGATGAGGATGAACTGTAAAGAGTAATTAAGAGATCATTTAGTGCTTCAGAGAGGAAAACACATTCACCAATTTGCCAGATAATTATTAATAACTATTTTGTATGCTTGATCTTCAAAGGGAAAGCAAATTTCTAACTTTATGATCTCTGTTGCGATAGTGTATAACTGTGCTCCTTTTATACAGAAAGAAAAGGAGGCAGGCGCAAATTAGGTGATCTGCCCATTGCAGTAGTGGAGACACTGTGGATCGGAATTTGGAGTATCTGTGAGTTACATTCAGCTCAGGTCCTGGGAAGGAGCCTGAGGCTGTGTTCAACAGAGCACCGGATCAAAAGAAAGAACTCCCCAGCTTTATTCTCTGTGCTGTATTGTTTTTTACTGAAAACAGGAATACAATATTTGCAACTAAAAAAGAAAATTGGCTAATAGAACTGCTGAGATCTTTGGAAAATCTTTGAATCTTTTGCATCTAGATGCTGTGTAATCATAGCCGGCTCATTCTCACTTAGCACTGGTTTCATTCCTATGTATCTGATTGGCCCAGCTGGGCTCAGTGCTGGCCTGCAATAACAGTGAGAATGTGTCCAAACGGAGCCACACAAGGTAGCTTTTGCTTTTCCTCCATACTGTAGGTTAGGAGGCACCAAAATGTTATTCATTTTGTTAATCATTTGTTCTTTTATTCAGCAGTTATGCTATGATTCTTTGTTTATCAGTCAAACATTCCCAAATATGGGAATGTTCATGCTCATTTAAAACAGGGAAAAATTAACATTTGCCATGTGACTTTATGGAAATGGTTCAACCTCTCAAAACCTTGTTTCTCATCTCTAAAAAACGGGGATAATAAGAGTCCTACTCCATAAACTTTCTACTTGGGATTAAAAGAGATAGATCCTGCAGAGATCACAGCACCAAACCTGGCACATAGTTAGTGCTCGATAACAGCCATGGCTGTCACCCTTGTTCTTATGGCATTCCAAATATTTGTAGCTGTGGTTTAATTATTTTTCTGCTTGACCATACATCTAAACTCTGGGAAGAAATTGAGAACACCATTGAAATGAGAATTTGTCAGGGCCTTATCATTTTTACAAATGGAACACTGAAAATATCATGGTGATCCCCAGTATCTAATTTTAAGTAAAAACAATATTACTCTTTTTTGTTTTTGTTTTTTTGCGGTACGCGGGCCTTTCACTGTTGTGGCCTCTCCCATTGCAGAGCACAGGCTCCAGACGCGCAGTCTCTGCAGCCATGTTTCACGGGCCTAGCCGCTCCGCGGCATGTGGGATCTTCCCGGACCGGGGCACGAACCCGTGTCCCCTGCATCGGCAGGCGGACTCTCAACCACTGTACCACCAGGGAAGCCCCCAATATTACTCTTAAAACATTAAACTTTCATACATGCTGAAGTCATGCTTTCTGACTCCTGAAAGTCATTTAGAAGATGCTTCTTTCTGGAAAAAAAAAATCCTTTGTTGTTTCTCTAATACCTGCTTACTTGCTCTGTCAAGTAATCCAGGCATGGAATTAGCAATCTGTAATGTTGATGTGCTTATAAATTAGAGGGTAAGACCCTATAGGCATGGCTAGTGTTTTGCAGGAATAATATAAATGGACTAAATACATAAGGACTGGACTGTGAGTCAGCAGGAGCAGAGAGTATGACTGAATTGAATGTTAAAATCCTAAAGTGCTTTTTTTCTTTTGGGATCAAATATTTTCCCATATGACTTGATAATGGAAGTAAATGGGGGAAATGGATTCATTTATAAATTTTTAGAAATGATTCTATGTGTTAAGGCAGGTCAAACTGAATGACATTAATTAAGAGACATGTGAATGTCATACTGTGATGCATGATGTGAGGATAACCCTGAAAAAGACAATAGATTAACATGTCTGAAGGATAAGGTGCTTAGGTCATTGACCTCAGAATTAATAAATACATTTGTAGTGGAATACGATGGAATAACCCAACAGCAGGTGAAAATTAGCCTGCCGCAAAATAGGCCAAGAGCTGGAATTACAACTGATCTCAGTGGAACATGGAATGAGTTGATTCAATGGGAAATGTTTGTCCCTAGTGAAACAGTAGATAACACCCAGTGGAAACAGCCTTTGGATCTGCATCACAGAAAATGGTCCATGTATCTCAAGTCCACAGACAACTAAATAATCATGGGGGCTGAGTGGTGGTGTAAAAGAGCACAGGCTTGGGAGCCAGGGCCAAGGTTTAAGTTTTGTTCCTGACTGACTGAGAGTGTTACTCACTGGCCATATGATTTTTTGGTTGTCATTAATTAGCTTTTTGACCCAGGCTAATTACTTATTCTCACTAGGCTTCAATTACCTCATCTTTAAAATAGATAATTGTGTCCATGCGAATTGCTGCACGGATTACGAGATGATGCTGAATATCACTGAGCACCGTTTAGCACATAGTTTAGCACCCAGTTAAGGGCTGGATATATGTTACCCCTCATTCTCCTTTTTTGCCAAAATTTTTATTTGAAAAATTTAGTCATGTTTCAGTTTAAAAATTAGAATGATTTTAATTGATCTAATTCAGGGAGTTATCAAAAAACCAATTGCAAGGAAGATTTTACTCAATTGGAGAAAACCAAATCTCTTATAGACCAATAAAAACAGCTGTTCAGATTACTTTAGCACATTCTTGGTTATTTTTTAGATGAGTATGTTTTAGCAGCAGAGTGGCTTAAATTTAAGATAAGCAGCATTAAATGAATAAAAATGCATGTGATTGCCCATCAGGATCTCAGTGTTCTAGCACTGTCTCTGCTACTGGTTAGCTGTGTGACTTGTTGGAAGTCATGTCACCTTTTGAAGTCTCACTTGCAAGATAAGGAAATTGCACAGCATAGTTTCCAAAATTCTTTCCTGTGCTCTAAACCTGAGTGGCCCAATATGGTAGCCACTAGCCACATGTGACTATTGAGGACTTGCAGCATGAAATTGAGTTGTGCTGTAAATATAAAATACATGCTGATTTTGAAGACTGTATGAAAAAGCTAACGTAAAATATTTCATTAATAATTTTTCATTTTGATTATTGGAGAGATTATTTTGCATGTATTTGGTTAAATAAAGTTACTAAAATTACTTGCTTCTTTTCTTTAATGTGGCTACTAAGCTTTAATTGACAGGTAGCTTGCACTTGTGGTTGTGTTCGTTTCTATCGGACAGTGATGCTCTAAAAACTGAGTTTATGGAATAAATTTTAGTGAAGGTTTCAATTGTACACAGAGCTGGGTTTCAGAGCTACTAGGACATTTCTGATAAGCTGATAGAGCTGGTGCCTTCCACTTATTTGATTGTAGCAGTTGATTTGCACTGTGCAGGTGGTGGGGAGAAGCTGGGGAAAGGAATGGGAATAGATTAGAGTCCAGCGGAGACAGAGTCTGCAGACAGAATCAGATGCGGCCAGTTGGTGGAGGGAGGATTCTGGGACAGTGGGGTACAGGAGACGCTCTGTTGGTGGTCGGGGAGCACACCTAACACAAAGAAGGGAAGACAGACATTCTGCTCTCTGTGCATGGAGCGTTGACACCACTGTGGCACCACCATCAACTGGCAGCTTGGGGAGCACGGGCAGATGGCCCACTTGAAAGGATTCTGGTGTCCTCAAGGCAGACATCCATGACAGGCACGTCTCAGGCATTGGCTTGAAGAACTGGAGGAGCAAAAGAAGAGTGCAGAGCAAGCTTCACAGTGAACGAGCCTCATGGATCAGTTCATGGACGACAGACCAACTGACAAACAGGTGTCCCTTTACAGAGTATTAATGTTTATCTCCCCAGACGTAGGTGCAACAACACTTGGGATCTTAATGTTAATAAATACCTCCTTCGGACCTAAGGCTGGTAAAGTCTAGGGAAGTTTTTCAGCTAAGCAGGAATAACAAACTTTTAAAAATCAAAGTTTCTGGGGCTTCCCTGGTGGCACAGTGGTTCAGAGTCCGCCTGCCGATGCAGGGGACACGGGTTCGTGCCCCGGTCCGGGAGGATCCCACATGCCGCGGAGCAGCTGGGCCCGTGAGCCATGGCCGCTGAGCCTGTGAGTCCGGAGCCTGTGCTCCGCAACGGGAAAGCCCACAGCAGTGAGAGGCCTGCGTACTGCAAAAAAAAAAAAAAAAAAAAAAAAAAAAAAATCAAAGTTTCTTAAAAGCAACGATACGCCAGGTCAAAGAGAAGGCAGCATGCTCATGGTATCTTGCTTAGGTTGTCTGGGCATGTGGTGGGGCAGGGAGAAGGCT